CAATTATTCCTAGGTCCTTTACCTCCGTCGTGCCACGTAGCGCTGCATCCTCGGTTTAGTCTACATTGTTAGTGAGTAGCTGACACTTGGCCAGATTCAGGGGTAAATCCCATCGATCCGACTAGCTGCGAACTGCATCTAGGTCCTGGGTTAAGTTTTTACCTACTATCTTCACATCGTCCGCAAAGATGAAGCGAGGGTTATGCAATTCTAGTGTGAGATCGTTGATAAATAGAAGGAAAAGAAGGTTCCAAGGACGGAGCCTTGAGGCACCCCGCTTGTAACCCTCTCTGATCGCGAAGTGTAGTTGCCAACTCGTACAGTGAAGCTACGGTTGTTGAGAAAATGCTTCAACGACTGACGCGCTGACCCGACTATTTCAAACGTTAGTAGCCTCCAGTCCAGCAACCCGAAGTTGGTAGCTTCGTGTCCAGCAACGTAAGACTCATTGAGTCAAAAGCTTTGCTGAAGTCCAAGTAACGTACCTCCACTGCCCTAAACTGATCTAATCGACGTGTAGTCTTGTCGAGGAACATAATTAGACATTTCAAGCACGACTTATTTATGGTAAACCCGTGCTATGCAGGAGATAGAAGTCCATGAGTCACCAGGTGCGCACATATTTGTTTTCTGACCATTCGTTCAAGGCACTTGCACAGCACTGGCATTAAACTGACCGGCCTGTAGTTGTCCTTCTTCTGTGTAGACCCCGTCTCGTATATTGCTACCACAGTTGCCTTCCGCTATTCCTCTGGCATTACCTCTTCGGGTTTGTTTTGATGTCTCCAGCTAGATTCTTTTCGTACTCATACTTTGCTTTCCGCTGCATTGTCCGCTACTTATTTCTAACCAGAGGGAGAGAAGATTTTTGCTTCAAGGGAGGATGATTTCGGGGTAACTTTCACATCCCAATTGATGTTATCATTCCTAATTCGGATGTCTGCAACGCTGAGGTCGTATGTCTCTCTATCTACTGACAGAAACGGTAAATGACCTACTACTACTACTGCATCCTGCAATCATAGCCCCAGCGTTGTTGTCGGCGTGTTTACGAAAACAGTTGCTGTGCTGTATGACGCTGACCTCAAAATTCCTTGTACACTTTAAATGCATTGAATATGCATAGTATACGATTCGAATAAAGTTCGTGTGGTGTTCGATTCGGAGTTGTTCTATTTCGGGGATTGGTATTGCGCGAATTCTGGAACCCTATTTCGAATACTATTTCCAATACTACATTTGGCGTCGCGGCCGATCTATTGAACACTGAATTGTCCTCCACTAGAATCTGTTGAGCTTAACTGCGGTGCACGCGATATCGAGGATTATTTTGAACGTTTCGAGATTTGGTGGTTGACCCGTTCAAAGCCCGATGAGGAAAAGAAATCCGCTTTCTTTTTGAATACTGCCGGTAAAAATGCTTACACATTAATCAAAACCTTGGCTTATCCTTCTCCACCTGTTTCTGTACCGTACGATGATTTAAAATCTCTCCTCCTCCAGCATGTGAAGCCAACAAACTTCGAAGCCTCAGAACGAGCAAAATGTCATTCAATGGTACGCAATCCGAATCAGGGCATCCG